CTATTTTCTGGAAACAGAAACTCCAGCACAGAGAAATACATTCATCTTTTCAAAGACCGTCTGCCATTACAAGACACATATGTAAGGATTTTTTTTTAAGCTGAATTCAACATCAAAGGCACATGTTCTATGTAAATGTCAGATATTTTTACTTGGTTTTCTACCATGGTTTTGTGATTACAGCATAAGATTTTTTCCTTGGGTTTGTAAGATCTGTCTTTAAAGTAGAAATCTAGGAATATGGGGCAAATGTGATTTTGGAGGGCTGTTCAGATTTTAATTGCATGGTTGCAGACTTAACAGATAATTCTTCCCTTCTTGAAATTCAAGACATTGAAAGGTTAATTCAATCTTCTCAGTTCCATTTCCTTCCTTCTGTTCTCCTTCCCACACTCTCTCCCTCCCGCCCCCCAATCTGTAGACAGCTGAGTTATTTGAATTTTATGCAAGCTTGTATTCATCCAAAGGGAAAAAAATCATTCAATGTATGCATCAGACAAGCAAAAATTACAGTATCGCTCGCTTTCATTTTTCACTTCCTATTTGCTTTTCTCTGCATTCACCAATTTGGGCAGCAGACAGACAAATTCATGCCCTAAAAGTGGTTTCCACAGAAAAGTTGCCTTGAATTAAGGATCAAATGTCCCAGCTCACTTTAAATTTCCATTCTTTGAGCTTACAAGGATCTAGAATTGAACTGCTGTGGTGCTTTTACCTTAAGTCGTGGAAAGGCTACAGTTCAAGTTAGCACAATTTGTCTGCTGCCAACACAATCAGTCGCTGCTGCTCTGATGTTATTTCATGGTGTGGTCACTCACGCTCAAAGCACAGCAACTCCAGAGGAGTCAATCTGAGTGTACAGAGCTCGAGTTCACCCTTTTGTGAAGGCACAGCCTTAAAAAGCCTGCAGCTGATTTCTGTTCTTTGTATATATTTGCAAGAAACAAGCCAGAAAGATGGTCATTGAAAACCATCCAATTTGGTCAAATTCTGAAAAGACAGCTATTCACCTCAAATGCTGCACAGAGGAAATAATCTAATCTTTTTCCTTTATATCTTAAAGAAGAAAAACTGTTTAACATAGTATATCACGGCTTTCTTTCAAACAGGCAACAGATAACAAGTGTGGCACTTACTGACTACTGCTTCCTTAGGTAATTCTTGACCTTGTACACAACCTGTAACATCTCTACGTTTGGCTTACAAACAAACTTATAAAATTGGAAGATGATTTTTGGAAAAGATTGTGTATTAAACCCTTAGCAGAAATACAAGTTTTTATTCTGGAAATTGCTCACAGAGACCAACTAGAAAAATCTCTAGTCCATCTGCTCCTCTGCTTCAGTAGCCTTGTTTCCTTAAACATTGAAAAACTTCAGGGTTTATCTTGTTTTCCCCCAAACAAAAAGCATACTTAAGCTGCTAGGAGGTCCCAGGGTACTGAAACCAGAATGATTTTGCAACACTGGTGGTTAGGCATCCCTCAGGGCTACGTCCACAGCTCTGTGTCCCTGAAGCCAAGGACACCACGCCTCCACATTTCACACAGAACAGAGCACAGTGTGGATTGCACTGACTGATTCACCTGTTGTTCTTTTTCTCTGGACAAAAATAAAAATCTAAATACTGTATTAGTAGACCTGTGGATTGTATTACCTTATCTTTGATCACCTTGGTTATCTATTTGCTACTCCAGCTGTATGCTAGGTGCCACAATCTATTCCTCTTACAGAATGGTGATTTTCCTTTTTTTTTTTTTCCCTCCTCTAGGTAAAAAGAGTGAGAAATTCAGCAGTGGATTGTTCAATTTCAGAGCAGTCAGCTGCACTGAGAAGGGCCACCTTTGAGGACACTCCCAACCTTCACCCAAAACTCCTCTTACTCTTCTTTCCCTCTGCTTGCAAGAGATGCTACCATTACTAGTGTCCAGAGACAGAAAGGAGATATATATATATATTAAAAAAAATAAAAAGAAATAAAAAAGGTAGTTTGTAAAGGGTGGAAGTCATGCTAAACTAGCATTTCTTGAGCAGCATTCATCACAAAGCATCATGTGCTCCATAGCATGCTAACTGATATGACTAACACATCACGTGCTTCTTTCCCCACCCTTTCTTTGGGAGAGAGGCATGCACATGGTCATTTTGTATTTTTTTTTTCCCTTTAATAACACACACATATCTCACTGCACTTTGCTAGAGAAGGCAAGACCAAAGCCAAGTGCTTTGTGCTGGAAGATAAAGTTTTGGGTCAGTCCTTGAGGAAACTCTGTTGCAGGGATCTCCATCTGGCTAAACTTTTAAAAATTCACCCCCATACCAAGTTTTATAAGACAAAAAAAGAGGGAGAGAGAAAATTTCCACTCCCACTAGCTTATGTTTTCTTTTTTTTTTCTGCATTGGGACTCCTAGCATAGACCAACTCCAAAGCTATATGGGAAACACGGGGCTGGAAAAAAATAGCCAGAGCAGGAGGACAGGAGGGCTGCCTACATCCAGCCTCTCCTCCACTGTATGTGCCCGCCCTTAAGGCTCAATGGTCTAGAGAAGGAAAATGAAACACCTCACGTAGTGATAAAACACACACAAGAACCAAGTGTTTACACACCAGCAGCGCAGTGTTACAGCAGACACCCTGCCAAAGAGAGCTCATTGCCTTCCTTACACCCGCGGGATTCATTGTCTCTTAGCCTGGGAACCTGTCTCCGTTCCCAAACATGGATATTTTTTTTGGCAGCAAGACGGAACAAACAGCACAAAGAGAACTAAGAAAATCCTTTCAGTAGAGCTGTAGGCTTTTTTCTGTTCCCCTAAGGACGGGAAACCTTCTAAGGCTGGCTTACAACACGCCCAATCCTGCCACCTTTCTGGAAGGTGCTCAGTTCTCACTGGAATTGGAAGGAATTTGGGTGCTTACAGAACCCAGCCCAGCGCCTCTGACCTCGCAAAATTAATCTCCTGCCTTTAGCACCAAAAATACCACAACATTTTGGAAATGAAATCACTGTTATATTTGAGTGGGTGTGTTATTTCGAGACAGCACTAACGTGATTATAAAATCAGTTGTGTCAGCTTATTGGCTCGGCTGCAGGCTCCGATCTGCTGGCACGTCTGTTCGCGTTCGGGTGCTTTTGTCCCTCCTCGGTCCCACACGGAAACGGGCACAACCTCATTCCCAGTGCTGCACCCAAGAGAAAGAAACCCCTCTCCTTGTAATTACCCTCCTAATCTCCACGCAATTCAGCATTTCCACAGCCCCTCGTGCCAGACATGAGGACAGGATCCCCAAATTGCACAGGCTGAAGCCCCACAAGTCCCCACAGCTCAGCCCCACGGATGCCGGGCTCGCTGCTTCCACAGGACAGCGGCCCAGGGAAAAGCTGAGCAGCAGCAGACTCCCCTCTGACTTTTCCTTTTCACTTGAGCTCCCTTCAAACCTTTTTTCCTCACCTATGACGGCAGCGTGGCAGCCAGCGTTTGTTTTCCCCGTTTCTCTGGGGGTGTCTGACAGACAGCCACCCGGCGCTGCGCCGCGAGCGGCCGGTGACTCACTGCCATCAGAGGTGTCGGGCCCGGCAGGATTGACTCAACCTCCATCCTTCGGCAGGAGGTTGGAATAAAATATGCTTTCCGTGGCATCTGAGGCAGCTTTTCAGACGTGACTACCAACACAGTTTGTGCACTTGACGCGTACAGGGTCTGTAAAGATCCTGTGGTGCTCCTGCCTTGCTTGCTCTGTTCGCTGTCTGGTTTGTCTCATCGTTACAAGCTAAACCATTCGGCTGTCTCCATGCTCCCCAAGTGCTGTGGTTCGTTGCTCCCACCATCATCCCACAGCCAGGTAACTGCTGCCTTCCCCTTGCTGAAGGTAGAGCCCGTGAAACGCTGCCATTAAACCTTGTCAAATAACTGCCTGGCTGCTAGGATTAGCAAGAACAGCCCAGTTTCCAGAGAAAGAGGTGTCTGAGGGAGAACATCACCCACCCACCTTCCTTCCCATGGCCAGCCACATCTCAACGCAGTGTCCAACACCATCAGGGCAAGCTCCACACAAAACCTTCCCCACGGTACCTGCCTGTGCCACACAGAGCACGCAAACACGAGGACTGGGAAGGGGCTCCCACTAGTTTATCTCCAGATTTGGCCCTGGACTGCAGCAATGCCACCACTGCTGTGTGTGGAGTCCTCTTCAACCAGGAGCAGGGGCTCCCACCCGCCAGGCAGCTGTAGGATATTCCCCTAAATTCCTATAAAAAAGCTACCCACAAACGAATCCTGCAAAACCAGCCCTTAGGTGAACTCCAAACCTCAAACGAACTCCGAGCTTCAGCATTACAAAAGAAGGGCAGGAAGGGAAATTCAAATATTATTGTCTCGGTGAAGGAGGAGGGAAAAAAAAAATCAAGATGTATTTTGGCAGTTTTCCACCTCAGTTTTTCCATCTCCCTCCCTCGTGCACTTTCTGCAGCAGCAATCTGTCCCTTCCTAAATGCTGAGCAATCCCGGCACTGAACTAATCAATATTAATAGCGATGGGATCGGGGGGTGGGGAGGAGAGGAGGGATTAACGTGACCTTTTTAAACTCACACTGCCTCAGACGGGCACCAAGCAGCTGAGGAGAAAGCAGCCAGACGGTAATGCCATGTGGTTTTAGTAGTTTTCCTTTTTTTTTTTTTTTCTCTTCTTTCTTTTCCTGTGAATATTTACTTCTGTTGTCTCAGGGCAGATCGCAATGAACTCAGGTTGTCTTAAGGAAGGAAAAAATATATTTCTATCAGCCGTCTGCAGGCCAAACCGAGCCTTGACGGAAACTCCGCTGAGAGCAGTGGAATAACACCCAAAACGAATTTTAGCCTGAATTGCTGTTAAAAACAGGAACTAGATGAGGGGCATTTTGACAGGTGAAGCATTTAATGCTGTTGTGTTTCGTGGATTTCTGTGAGAACAGGGTGTAATCAGAGCCACCGAGCGTGCGGCTCGGATACCGAGTGCGGGCGCAAACAAAGGATCCTGCGACGCCGTCCTCCCATTGTTAGCACAAGTGCACACAGCAGCTAATCCACCTACCAGCGTGGGGATGTACTTAGGGCAGTGCACTCAGAATTAACGAAAAAGCCTCTTAATTCAAACAAAACCATTATTGAAACTCTTTGTGCACAGTGGATTCACGGCTTATTGCGGACTTTCTGGGTATCAGCATTCCTTACACCAGTGTTTCAGGTCAGGAGGCACCCCGGCTCCTTGTTAACTAATGTGCTGTCTTTTCTCTATTTCTTCTTTTTTCCATGTTCAAATTATGATTTTCAGTGATTTATTCTGATAGATCTAGATAAAAATGCTGTTAATGCTTTTTCTCTTTTGCTTTGCAAGTGCCAAGCCTTGGGGAGAGGTCCCAGATTGAGGAGTGAGATTTGTGTTGGCTTTGGAATAAACATTTTTCTGGTGTCTTCATTTTTACAGCAGAAATTGCTCTGCAGATGGCTGATATCACAGCACTAGCTAATGAAGCCCCGGGTGTGTTTTTCCTTTCTTTGTCAGGACCCATCATGTCCGACAAACCAGATTTTGCAGAAATTGAAACATTTGACAAGACCAAGCTGAAGAAGACAGAAACCAGAGAGAAAAATCCATTGCCCACTAAAGAAAGTAAGTGCTTATGGTGCTGTTTGAACTGAGAGCAGCGAGAACGCGATCTGTATTGCAGCTAATATGCAAAATGAATACTAATTGTAGCATTACTGCCTCAAACTCATCCCTGACTTTAACTGCATGTAATACTAAGACTTGCACTGGATGTTGTTGGGCTTCCACGGATATGAGTAGCTATACCCAACTGTGCATTTAGTCTGAAAATCATCTTTCTGATGGGACTGATCCTGCTTCTGCTAAAAGCAAGGGCAGTTTTCCTGCTGGCTGCAGGTAAGCGGAACAGCTGTCTGCAGCAGGCACACTGTCCACCCCTCCAGAGGCACGGATGCTCAAGGAGCCTTGCAAATGCCCCAAAGGGGAGGCAGCATCCCCATGCTCTGGTTGGGCACGCTATCAGGCACAGGAGCTGCTCCCCCCAGCCAGGAGAGCTCCAGGCACCTTCTCTTGGAATAAAGCAGCAAGAGAAACCCATCATCATCCCCACCAAAGGGAATTTTCCTTAGCAAAGGGCTGCACCCCTGGGTTTTCTCATGCAGGGTGTGAATTTCCCATGCCCATGCTGCACACCAGAACCAGGCACAGGCTGCAGTTCACATTCAGCTTTGAGTGTGAAGGTGGCACTGCCTTGCTCCTGGACCAGACTTTGCGAGTGGTTTCCTTCAGAAGAGCCCCAGTAACCAGGAAGGGAGCCCAGGGCTCCTCTGTTCTACTGGGTGGCTTTTACCTGGGGTGTAGAAATGGGCGGTTATGAAGATTCACTGTTCCCCCATGTAAGAAACCTGGTTTTCCCAATTTGTTATCTCTGCAGACACTCAGGAGTATCTTGAGGAGAATGCACATTGTGAACTGCCCCCCAGTAGTTTTACAGACAAGAATGGGTTGGCATTTTGGGGTGGCCACGAAAAGCCAGGGGGAACTTGATGCCCCCTGACTTGAAAAATGACCACAGGAACCTGCGTTGTGCAGAGTCCCTGCAGCAGTTCTTGATAACAGTTTTGTTTCCTGTGTTTTTCTGGCAGCTATCGAACAAGAAAAGCAAAGTGAAAGCGCATCCTGAACATCAAATGGACGATGCAGCTGCTGCTTCTTCAGTGGGGTTTGGGCTTCTGCGCTGGGTTGTTTTGTTTTGTTTCCCCGCCCCTTCATGCCCCCGCTCCCTGCTTGTTGTCCATTTAATTTAGCAAACACTCCCTCCTTTCATGTTCCCTGGGAAGTCTGTTTTGTATTTGTCGGACAAGATACTTTGTGTTTGTGTTCTTAAAACTGTAATTGAAAGTTCTGTACCGCCCCCATTACTTGCCAAAAAAAAAAATCTGCATAAAAAATGTTTTCCTAAACCTCACAATAAACAGGTTTCTTCTGATCAACTGTGTTTGAGACTTGCAAAAACAGGGCTTACTCTGCAACTCCTACAGCAAACGTGCACGTGAGCCAGGGGGACACCAGCATCCCTCCGCCTGCACAGGGGGCTAGGGCTGCCTTTACCTGCCCACATCATCCCTCCATGGGGGACATGCAGGAAGCCCTCTGGGGGCTGCACGGTGCCACAGGCAGCCCCAAACTGCTCCCTATCACTCCCAGGATGGCACTGCCGCCCCCCACTGCAGCCTTCATGCCCTTTCCCCATCTCTCCAAAACAGAGAAAGTTTTCATACTGATAGCTCCTAACCTTTTAAATCCACCTTGTTAAGAGGTTTGGATAAGCTGGGAAGCTGTTGGCCTGTTTCAGTTCTACCTGACAGCAGGTCAGAGGTCTCCAAGACAAGTACCTCTCTCCACGCCATGAAAAATTGGTGGCTGGGCTGAGGAAAGACTCAAATTAGCAGCCAGATGGGAGAGCAGCTGCAGCCTCCTCTCACCAGTTTTTCACCCTCATTAGCCTGACAAAACGTAACCAACCCTGGAACAACGATGGTGTGCAGTGTCCTTTGCTCACCTGATATCAAGTGATACCAGAATGCAGGAAGGAAATAAGGGTTTTTATAAACTTATCACATCAGTTTTCTGGGATGAGAGAGACCTTGAGCAGCACACAGGTGTGCGACAAGCCCACGAAGCAAACAGGGCTCCCTTAAGCCTCCATCACTGGTGGTGCAGTAACATCATTGCTGGGCTGCAGAGGGCTCAGCCAAAGCCAAACCTTGTCCTGCTCCCAGTTGCATGGTATTGCCTTAGCTCTGGAATTGATTTGCAATCATATCAGAAAAACAGATGTGTGCTGTGGGAAGATAAACTGCTGCCGCTGGAGCTGCAGCCTGACCCTACTTGCACAGGGAAACGGGAATAGTTCTGTGTACTTCAGCAGGGTTACTCTGGCCTTAGAGCTGCCTGAAGTCTGCAGGCTTCAGGAAGCAGAGCCGAGTGGTGGTGCGGTGTGTAGAAAGCTCTGCTTTGCTCAGGAGTTGTTTGACGCTTGACATTGATGGTGAATAGCAAGAACTGTAACTAAACAATAGCAGCATGGCCACAAATTGACTTGCACTGGCACCAAAAGGCAAACAGAGGTGACCAAGAGACCAAGGACAAGCAGGTTACGTGCAGGACTGGTGCCTTCAGTTAGAGCTCCACTAACTCCAGGGGTATCCAAAGGGCTATAGCTGTAATTTGAATCACTCCTCATCAGTTAAATGTTATTTAGATAACTGCTTTGATGGCAGCTTTGGTGGAGGCAGCCTCCCGAGCTGGTACCAGCAGAGCAGCCCCTCCTGGAAGCTCTCACAGCACCCAGCAGATTACCTGCTACTTCTCTGTGCAACGATTTTGGCAACCGGCACACCCTGTGATTGCGCTCAGCATGCGAACCCGCAGACTAAACTTCCCTTTTTTTGTGCCAGGAGACAGCATTTTGCTCCACGTGACAATCCCCCTTGTTCCCTGCCAGCTCGGAGCATCTGCCAACTCGCTCGGCACAATAAGTTATAAATCTCCCCAAGCTTCTGTCGTGCAGTGGAGCTGGTGGGAAGCGCCCGCGGAGCCCCAAGGTCTGGGCCACGCTCTCAAGCAGGAGGAAGAGAAGCAAGGTCTGGCCAAAGCAAGAAAACAATAGCGATATTCTCCTCTTTCCTTCACGCAGAAGCAAAGGATTAGCAGCATGGATCTATGGACTGGGGGGAGAGGCTGAAGCAGCCTAAAGCTCTGGAGACATTGAGTCTGTCCTAGCTGCCCCTCTGCTCACTCTGCCACCCTGAAGCCTTCCCCTGGTTTAGTTATTTGCCTCAACACCTGACCGAGTAAATCCATAGTCTCAGCACTTCTGTGTGTGACTGAGCCCCCCAGAAAGGCTGTTGGACTCAGGAAAATGCCAGCCCAGTTCCCCAGCCCTGGGTGTGACTGCAGAACCCTTCAGGTCACAGCAGAGCACACAACTGTGCACCACAAAAAACTCTGCAGGGTAAGGGGCAGATCTTGCACAACTCACCCAGTGCCCCAGGGGGCACGGTGCTTTATGAGGGGTTTAGAGGCTGTTTCTGCTTCTGTTAGCAGTTACAAGAGGCTTAAAGTTAAAGGCACGTAGGCACAGGACCCCAAGCTAAGAAGCGTCCCCCTCTGCTGCACCTTGAAGTCACCTTGGGGCTGGCTCATGAAATTAAAACCTGCAAAACCCAGGGTGAGGTCTGGCTCGCTGTTACCTTAATCAAACAGTGTCACAGCACCCATCTGCAGGGCAGGCAGAGGGCACAAACCAGGAAGCTGCGAGGCCAGGAGGGTGAATTTTGATCATTGCAGCCCTTCTCCTGCAGGAGTGCCTGTTCCTGCTAGCAAGCTACCACCCCAAGCACACCTAGGAAGCACCTTCTGGGGGACAAACCACTCCCAGCCCCCACTGCCCACCCCCAAAACTCACCAACAGCACCGGCTCCAGCACAAGGACCTTCCCCAGCCATCATGGTGAGAGCTGACCCAGGCCACCTTCCCCAGCAAGCTCTACCAGCTCCAGGTGGGAAATTTAAGGTTTTGGGCTAATTAGCCACAGCCCTTTGCAGTTTGCATGCTTTACATAACGAGATGCTCCTCTAAAGGAAAAAACACCTTACATGCTAACCCCAACACAGCAAAGAAACCATTACATGCGGACAAATGGAAGCTTTCTTGGCATTGCCATAAAGCCAGCCTTGTCCCCTTTCCCCTGTGAGTCACTGCTAATTGCTCCACACAGCCCCAGCTGAGTGGAGGAAATCCGTATTCCTGTTGTTATTACACAGAAGTTATTTGATTTAACAAGGCTCGTTAGGCAGGTGTTTGATAACAGGGGGAGGCAGGGAGCACAGCCCCTGAACCTGTTGAGTTTCGGCTTGAGCTCACCTAGAAGCCGCTCAGGAAGCCAGCTAACCCTGGCTCAGGTGTCACGGCCCCAGTCCCAAAACACGTGTTTTTTTTCCAAGTTATGTTTGGAGGCTCTCTCTTATTTCAGGCATTAGCTCCATGGTGGCTGAGGCATCTCGTGGCATGATGCCCATTAAAGGCCAAGGCTTGAGAAGCCAGGGCTTTGGGAAAACATCCCTGTGTATCTCTGGTCTGTTGCTGGTGGTGCTCCTGACCTGCCAGAGACCTTTCCTGCTATGAGAAGAACATGGGAGAGGAAAACAGGGGAGCTGTGAGGAAGGAGGACTCTGACACTAAGCTGCAGCTGTGTGGAAAGAGATGGGGGAGCTGAGCACAGGCGTGGGGGTGCCCGAGGCAGCCGAAATCCCAGCCACAAACAGCAAGGGCAGGTCTCGTGCCTCTGCCCAGCTCTCCCACTGTTTTTTTTCCAAAACCACAGGCCGAAAACAACGGCCTTTTAGAAAGCACTAACCTGCCGGTGCCAAGCTGGGAGCCTCCTCCGCAGCAAGGACGGGAACAGAGCCGCTGCCTTCCCCCGCGTGCGGCCCTGACCCAGGGCACCGTGCTTGGGCCCGATCCAGGGTCTGTGGGCGCAGGTATGAGTGTGTGTGGGGGTGTTTCTCTCCACCAAACCTGACACCGCTCAAACTGACAGCGGGCTGATGTCTCCTCTCGCTGGGGCTCTGTGCCGGCAAGGGCTGCTCCGTGTGCCTGCTGTCGTTTCAGAGGAGATCGCTTGGGAAGGAACAGTTGCTGGGGACGGTTCTTGGTGCACATCTTGTACACTGTGCTGACAGCAGCTCCTGACAACTCCTACAATAAACTGCAAATCTTCCGATGCTGCGTGTTTTCATCAAGGCCCTGCTCCAGAATTCCTTTGATTGATGGAGATCAGGGAAAAAAAAAGAGGACAAAGTGGGGAGCAAATGGGTGTTCCCAGTCCCTTTGGTCACACAGCCATGAAAACGGGGTCTTTCAGGGCTCCAGCAGTAGGCAACAAACAAAAGGAATGGGAATTTCAAAACAAACCAACAATCTCAGGAATTTGAGGCTGGTCTCACAAATTCAGAGGCCAACTCAGTATCAAAATTTTTGGATTTGGCAAGTTGCAACAATCAGGGAGGGAAAAATAAAAATATGTGTGACTCCAAGTGGGTGTTTTCAAACAGCATCTTGTTTGGGGAAAATAATCCCTCTTGGTCTGCTTTGTTTTCTCGTGATGCTGGAAATAATTCTCCTCCTCAGTAGGAAGAATTGGGTTTTTCTTTTTCTGTGCCCAACTGGGAGCCACCCCAGGTCACGCCTGACTGCAGCTGGTTCCCCCCATCCTACTAGCACTGGAAGTGCCACCTCGAAGTGTTAAAGAAACATATGACGGGATCCTTATCGTGCTTTTGGATTAGCAATGAAGAAATCTCCAGAGTGAGATGAGGGCAGCTAAAGTGACATGAAAATGATGTAGAAAAGCTGCAGCCACCTAGTGCTGACCAGGTGGTGAAGGGATGTGCTTGCTTTCTGGAGGGCTTCAGAGCTTCTCATTTCCCTGGAGGGCAGTGCTGACAGTGTGTGTGGGTGGGGATTTGCTGTGCCCGTGTGGTTAACGTGGGCCTGCCCAGGCACCCTGGGGCTCAGCGCTCCCTCCCCACCTGCGCTGGGCCGCCTGCCACCAGCTCACCCGGAGGAAAATCATCGTTCCTCTTGTGCTGCTTTAATAGCCCAAGCACGTCACGTGTGCCCAGGGCTCCCGTTTAATTGTATTTCTCTTCTAATGTGTTTCAAAAATAGCCAGGGACTTGGAAACGTGAGGGCACCAGCCTGGCTGTACCCCGTGCAGATAGCAGTGGGCTGTGTCTGCCTTGAGGCAAGCCTCAGCCCCTCAGGGTGCTGACCCCAGCTCCAGCTGCCCCGAGTGCTGGTAAAGCTTCAACTTCCCTGCTCTTGCAACCTTTGTGTCTGAAGCATTCAGTGCCAAGAAGGAAATAAAAAAAAGCTTAACCTCAAACATTAATCCCGGAGCCCTGCTCAAACAGTAGGGCAGCTGTTTGTGACGCCAGGGTGAAGGTGCCAAGCGGCAACACCCGTCGGTGACTTTGGTCTCTGCCCCAGTGAGCACCGAGTTCACAGGGAGGCGGTGGCGGTGCCGCGCTCAGACCTGTCGGAAAGGTGATTTATTGAGCCTCGAGATTAAGCCCTGGTGCTGTTCACTCCTCGGCAAAGTAGGAATTGAAACAGCGATTGCAGCAGGGCCGGGAACCTTTCCCCGGTGTCATTACTGGGCTCGAGAAGTTCGAGACCTTCTCCTGTGCCCTGGTGCCTGCAGAAGAGGGCAGGGGGCTCAGTGCTGCCAAGAGGCAGCTGGCCTGGGTGCTGGCTTTTGTGCAAACCCCAATTTTTCAAGGTTGTGGTCGGACCCACGAGCACCCAGAGCCCTGGCAGCACCGGGTGCTGCCAGCCCCGTTTGCCCGGTGAGGGCTTCGAGCCAGGCCGGCTGCTTTGGGAGCCAGCACTGCAGCCACGAGCGAGCCTGGCCACCTCCTCACGCTTTGGTTTCACCACGGGTGAACAAGGAGCGAGGCAGCTCCCTCCAGCTCCCCAAAACGGCAAAAAATAAATAAAAATCGTATCTATCCCCCGAGGCCCAGCGCGGCCCTGCCTCAAGCTGCGCGGAGCGGGGCCGCCCCCAGGGGGAGCCGCGGCACCGGCCTGAGGGGGCCCCGCCCGGCCCAGCCGCAGGAAAAAGTGGTCCCAAATCTTTCCTCAGGGTGGCACAGGGACAGAGCCAGCCCCCAGAGGGCCCTAACAGCTCTCTGTGCCTGGGGGATGCTGAGGAGCCGTACCCCCGGCCCCTGTGAGCCTCTGGGCCCACAAGGAACTGAACAGGGAGGGCTTCACGCCGGGTCGGTGAAGCCAGAGAGCTTGCCCCAAGCTGTCGCCTCGCTCTGTGCTCTGATAACGCTGGAAACATCTCCTCCCACCTCAAATGTTAATAAATGTGTGGCGCTGGCTTCATCTGTGGGCTGATTGAAGTGTATATGTGAATATGATGCCAATGCACCGCTCATTAGGGGATGGAGATCCGCAGCTGGACACCTGCAAGAAGGCGCAGGACATGAAGAGCGTCCTCAGGGTGGGGGAGAAGAGCAGCTGACAGCAAAGGGAGCAAGCGAGCCCACAAGCAACCCAAATCCCTGACACCTTCTAGGAAAGCAGGTGCCTGAAGCAAGTTTGCTTCTCGCTTTGCTTTTCTCAGCAAGACCCAAATCTCTTTTCATGTTGCTCTCCGGCCCAGGCTCCCCCAAAAGAAGTTTCAGTCTTGTTTACTTAGGCTCTATTCTGTCCAAAGCAGGGCTGCAATGGAAATAGAGGTGAATTTTAAGGAAATACCCATAGTTCATATCACTATTCCCTTCTGTGATGCTCAAAACCTCCCACACTCACTGTCAGAAATGCAAGGTAATGCCCAGCACCATCACAGGTAAAAATTACAGACATTTGGGCTCAGGTTTTTCCCCAGGACACCAAGAATGTGGGGGGCAAAAGTGACAGAGCCACAGCCAGCTAAGGGACAGTGCAAAGACTCATGCTGTGAAAGGATGGGGAGCACCATGCAAGCGAGGTTATTAATCCGTTAATTTCGCTTGAGTTTGAATGGGAATGATGAAGAAAGAGGCGATAATTTTCCTTCCTATCAAGTGCCCAATCTCTTCCGGGACAGGCGTTTCCCTGCTGAGGTGCCGCATTTCCAGGATGAGAGATACCCAGGCAGTAACCTAGCTGCTGCACTAACACCGCTTTGCATGACACTTCCTCTAAAGAGGGAGAGAAAAACAAGACTCTCGGCCCTACTTTATCATGCTGCTGTGTAAACAGCCCCGTGGGCTTTGAAGGGCACACCTAAAGGTGAGGTGAGGCTGACAAGGTCACGGCGCTGCCCAGCCTCACAAGGGTGAATCAGAAGGCTGAGTCCTCTCAAGAGTCACAGAGACCTGAAGGTTGATGGAAACCTCGGTGTTTTATTCTATCCTAATTTTCATGGCAGCTCAAGCAATGGCAGGACAAAGCTCATTGCCCAAAATTTGCCTCCTCTTAGGATGCTGCTGAGACAGAGGCACAGAGCAGCCACCAGGATTTAGTAACCCATCCAGCTCCAGGAGGACAGACAAACAGCCCTCAACAGCCCTTCCCTAAGGGTGGCTGCTGAGGGAGGAACAGCTTCACACTGCTGGAGGCAGTGGGAGATTTTGGGTGGAGAGAAGGATTTCTGTGCACAGTGCAGGTGGGGTGACACGGCAGGGCTCTTACCCAGACGTTTGAGCCTGCAGGCTCGTCTGCCTATTGCCCTGTGCTGGGTGGGAGAGGGAGCTGCCTTTGGGAGCCTGGGAATGGGTGAGAGAGGACAGCAAAGTCATTAAGGTGAGGAGGTAGCGGAAAAGGGAAAAGGACAGCTTTAAAACATACAATGCAAAAACAGGGGGAAGGAAGGGGAAGAAGTGCCCTTTATCTGCTTGCAAGTGAAATAGCCTTGTTCTTGCCAGGAGCAATGTCCCGGCCTCCTCCTGGGCTGATGTCTCTGTCTCAAATGAGCTCACACCATGGCAGGGTGCAGCTCACCCGCACCTTCCACCCCTCCTGGCCAATTTGGGCAGAGGTTGCAGCCTTGTATCTATCCCAAATATATCCCAGCCTCGGATATATCCCCAAAACCAGCCAGCCCACATGGGCTGAGCTCGGTGCCTTGCGTTCCTGAGGGTGCAAGGGATATGCCCTTCCAGTATCACCTTGGAGAAAATGTCTTCAACCCTCATGGGGAAGCGTCCATGCTCCCAGACAGGTTGTGGCTGGAAAAATCAGAATTTGCTTTCCAAAACTTTTTTTTTTTTTTTAAGTTCCTGAAATTAAAAGAAATAAAGTACAAACTGTGCAACCTCAGGCCTCCTGTGGTCTTGGCATTTGGCATCCCAATGGTCTATTATGTTCCAGGAGGTGTTTCCTTCCTTACCTTGGAGTTGCTCGTGGCTCCCCTGATGAATTTCACTGCTTGCCCCATCACGCTGTGCATGAGGCTGTGTTGGAATCAGGATTAAAAGTCAAAAAGCAGAGCTGGTTGCAGTGGTATAACCAAGTGGGCACAAGCTGCTGCATGGAGGCAGGAGACGGGAGCTACTCAAGTTAATTTTCGAGGGTCACTAATAAGGCAGACCCTAATGCTGCACTGTTGGACTGTGTAACCTTGTTTTCAGTGAACATTAGGCCACCTCTAATTATGTGCCATAATAGGAATCAAGAGGACTAAGCCCGTGGGATAGGTGTGGCATAAAAGCTGATTTCAGTTTCACCTGATCTTCAATTAACATTCATTAATCAAAGCACATTCGTTATACAGGCAAAACTCCCACCAGCACTGGCAGGTCCGGGGCTCGGGTCCTGCGGGCTGTTCCTGCTGCTGGGAACCGCAGCAGACAAAGCAGGCAGGAACCTATTTTCTCCGATATGGGAAACTTTGGTGTTGGGAAGACTGAAAAACGAGGGCTGAGCATAGCAGGGGCTTGCACACTGCTCTGTGACAGATTATTTTAAAGCAAAGTGAAACGTCCCCCCGGCTGAGAGGCTGCCTGTGTACAATGCAAGGGTATGGCATCACCCATGGGGGCTCAGGCAGCTTCCCAGGGAGAGCACAATAAAATGCAACTGCCTCCGACATTGCTGACGAGGGGGTGTCTTCCTAATTACCCAGGTGGATTTTATTGTAACGAAGCCAGCAATGCAGGATTTGACGCTAGGGCTCTGAATGTATCACCTGCCCAGGGCAATTTAGCAAGTAGTCTATGCTTTATTTTCTTGTTTTCTGTGCTGGTGGTGCTCACTCCCCGCATTTGTGACCCCCGCACAGACCATCATTCCTGTTTGCTTGGGTTTCTGCATGCAGCACTTGCATAGACTGATTTATCTTGTGCCTGCCTTCCCCTAAATGCCATATTCTGATGTGAATAGGGTTTTATGGGTGTAGGGGTTTGCATATGCACTATTAAAGCCTCTTGACTTAGGGCAGATACCAAAATATTTTAGGACTCCAATCATCCCATGAAAATCACTGGCTGTTTGGTCGCGTAGCAAGAAAATAAGAAACAAAGCATCAACATTTGATCAGTAAAGCCAAGGGGCTCTGGCGGACATCCAGGACACCGTTTCCCAAACAGCGTTCCCTGCTCAGTTGTTTGCAACAGCGCGGAGCCAGCGCAGCCTCCGCCGGTGCCACTGAAGCCTGCGGCTCGGGGCTGCCAGAACGCCTGGCCCTACATTTTCTGCATAACCAGGTAAATTCAGGAGATTTTTTGCTTTCAGTTTTGTTTTCCTAACCCAAAACCAAACCAAAAGTAAGTTTCTAGGGAGTGGGAAAGCCAAAGGAAAGCTCCTTTGGTGTTTTACAGATGAGCACTAGGGCTCGATGAGCAGGGCTGCGACTCACAGGCTTGTCCCATGGGTGTTGGAAGAGCCAGCACCACGCTGCAATTTAAGGAGCAAAACACTGAAATCAGCATCAGAATAGCTACAGCCAGTACAGCTCTGCCATTTACTGCCAGGTTTCATGCACGATGGTCTCTGTGCCTCAGTTTACCCAAAGCAGAGACTGCTACATTTAATCTCTCTTACTACAAGGACATTGAATGAAGCACTCTATAAATGGAAAAATTATCAACACAGCAAGAACAAAGTCTGCTTTAACATAAGGTCTGGATGGTGGGAAAGTCCTGCAGCGAGGTGACCACCCCAGTCCCATCCGTCGGGCGCGGGCTGGACACACATCCACGCTGACATTGGTGCCTGAGCAGCTCCTGCACCCTGGGACAGAGCTGGGAACACAAACAAGTCCCCCAGAGCAGGAAGGCTCGTCCCAGCACAGCTCTGCCTGCTGACAACTAGTGTAAGTGACAACGTTACAAGGGACTTTTAAGATTCCTATGACTTTAATTGGAAAAGACATTTTTAATAGCCTAGGCAAATAACTGTGTGATCCTGCCAATTGCAGTGACTGCTCGCAGCCGCGCTTCACGCCCAGGGAAGCTGTTATTTTTCTGGCGTGCGATAGGAGGATCATGTGTGAACTGACATAACAGACACGCCAAAATTGTTCAGCTGTACGAGCTCTCTCAGACAGAAAAAAAAAATAAAACACAACCACCAATATGCCCCCGGGGACAGCCAGACACAAACCCCAAAATGACATGCATGCACAGAGAAAATGCACAGCAGATTTCCAAGTCATATGCATGGGCTTTAATCAATGAACCTCACTGATACATGGGAAACACTTCATTCCCAGTAATTGTCCTTTGACAGCTCTAACAAGCAGGATCTGCTCAGGATGGTAATGATTAAAATGCTGACTCACAGAGGGTTTTGCCGTGCTGGCAGGAGTACACCAGCGTGGTGCTCACTTGGAAGGTATTTTGCATCCCTGCTTCTGAACCGATCTGCATTTTTAATCCTCTGACTGCAAACAGTTGTTTGTGGCTTTGCCGCGCTGACTCCAGGTTTCCCTTCTGCGTGGGCTGGCCGGGGAGGTTCCTCTCGCCCACTGACCGACACGGGGAGCAGGGCGGGGGGGGTCCCTGTGCTCCCCGAGGTCAGAAATGTCACAGAGCTGATGGGATGGAGCCGAGGCTGTGTGTGTGCAGGGCCTCGGGCACCCAGAGCCAGGATGTGGAAAACCATGCAGCTGCTCACCGTGCTCGCACGCATTTCGCGGCAGCCCACAGAGCACTTTGCAATCACGTTTGTGGCATAAGTCTTTATTCCTGCTGGCTCCTCTGCCCCCGGCCAGCACAGCAGTGTGTGGTACAATCCAAGCTGCTGAAACGTCCAGGCTGCAGGCCCTCAGTGCCTCACCTTGCAGTTACAGCTATTAGCAGCAGGAGACCAGATGTCACCGTCTCGATGGGATAACGAGAGCAGTGGGACAAGGACGAGCCCTGCGCAGCCCCAGGAAAACAAAACGAGAAGTTTCCAGGAACAAAGTCTCGCTTCTGCTCCCTTACAGCCTAAAGGATGTACCACAACGATTATGCATGACCATAACCATTGATAAGTAATATTGACATATAACACATGGATGACCATAAGAGAGGCTTTTTGGGGTTTCCTCTGATAAGGATTTTCCCCTCCCAAGCGCAGGGGTATGAAGCAGAGGGGCCGAGGCCCTCGCTCGGCTCTCAGCAGTGCTCATGTGCGCGGAGCCAGCCAGAGCCCGGCCGCTGCCGGGGCAGACCTCACTGCAGGGAAATTGCTACCCCCGGAAAACTGTTCCCCTAATTACAGCGTTGAAGCATGGAGCAAACCACATAAGTGATTCACACAGTGTTCCCAAGCTGCAGCCGCGTAAATTAGAGAGATTTCCAAACACTCCTGCGCCGTGCACGCTGTTGTTATCAGGATGGAAATACAGAAGCTTTCATCCTAAGGAGGCGAGGAGGGGGGAAAAAAATCGCCGTTAAACGAATCTCGTCAAATCGAGAAGACCTGGGAGGTCTACCCCCGGTGGATCTGTAGAGGAGTGCTGCTAAAACTCCTCGGGGAGCTCTCCTGGTAGGGAGCAGGCGGCTGGCAGGGGAACCATAGAAATGCACGGGTTTGTTATTGCTGGGCACGCAGGGGCCCGGCCTCTGCTCGCAAGCGGGGTGTGAAAGGGAGAAGGCAAGTGCACTTGGGGCAGAGAGAAAGGGATGGCGCTGGTGTGGAGTGGAGTTAAAAGTCGCCCATTGTTAGGGAAGTTTGCTCTCCTCACATCATCACAGCTCCCGGTGACACCGCTCTGCCTTTTGAAGTGCAACATTAGGCGTTTCCTTGTCACCCATTGGCGCAGGAGCTTTTTTACCACATTAAGTCATTGGGTAGCAAATGAATGGGGGGTTTTGACTATTCAGAACTTCACCTTATAAATATCAGGGTTGTAGGTTCCTGCAGCTTTCCTGGACCCGAATATCTCGAGATACGTTGGGACTCGGTGCGGCGAGGCGGCCCTGCCCAGAGACCTGCGGCGTGGGAGCTGCGGATCAGCCAGAGGGATCCAACTCCTGGGCTTTGACAGCCATGAGCAGCACCACCTTCCTCATCCTCTCCATCATGGGCATCTGCGGTGTCATTTTCAACGCAGCAGCATGGTAGGATTCAGCAGAAGGGGCATTCCTGGGGGATGCTCTTGAGCCTGTGTTAAATCGTGCGACTCGTTTCCTTCTCTTCGTTTCAGGTCTGTGAACAACTTTCTGATGACAGGACCTAAGGTAATTAACACAGTCACTATCAGCAATTTAAGTAAAGCCATTTTGTTTTGCAAATGGGAAATATTGCTTTTCTAAAGAACCAGAGCTCCCAGAGCGTATCGGCTCCAAACCGGGTTGAGTAACAAGGAAAAGGACCCACAACCCTTCTGGCTCTGTTTTCATGGATAAAAGCTGAAGTGCTGAGGATCTCACCCACGCTTTCCCATGCAGGCGTACCTGACATACTCCAGCAGCGTGGCGGCGGGCGCGCAGAGCGGGATGGAGGAGTGCAAGTTCCAGTTCGGGTGGGAGCGCTGGAACTGCCCCGAGAGCGCGCTGCAGCTCTCAACGCACAACCGCCTGCGCAGCGGTGAGTGCCCACAGGGTGCCTCCGACAGGAGACGGGGGGTGCTCTGAAGAGAGCAGCCAGCCGATGGGGAGGTTTTCTGTCCCTCAGATACCAGGCTGGCTTTTCTCCATCTGCATTAATTGGTCTCACAAATGATGCTAATATTTTCTCTATGATCTTTATCCGTGCTAAGGGAGAGCCTTTTCTGCAGTGCTGGTCCGTGGGCTCGCTCCTGCTGCTTTTGTGCCGCATCTCAGGGAGCACAGTGCTAGAGGCACCTGAGTTTCGTATGGGGGGAAGGAGAGATGAAGGGAGGAATCAGGGGCGAGTGCTAAGAAACTGCCCAAGAGAAAGTTGTGGATATATTTGAATGCTATCTACTTCAGCCAGCATAGAAATGCCACTGGAAAGAAGCTATTTGACTCTGTTAGGAGAGCCAGAAAAGAAACTAAAATAGAAGCATGGGTCCAGACTGCTATTAGCACAGGTTCAACCACCAGATGATTTAAGATGAACTGTAATTTTCCCCAGCAGGTGAGACCAAAGCAGGCACAAACCTCCCGAGCAGAAAATGGCAGGGACAAACCAAGTGCCAGGTGACGTGAGGGATCAGCAACCTTGGTGAGAGCAGGATTGGGGCACTATTGTGCCATCCTACTGTTGCCAAGAAACTCTGTCCCATGCACAGACACCTGCAGAATATTGTGCCAAATTGCTGAAACTATTGATGCTGAAGCCGGAAGAGATTCCAGTCATGAGCATTTAATTTCTGTAGCACCTTACCTTTTGCACAAACTGTTTTGTTATTCTCTTCTTGCACCTTTGCAACGCTGAAGGTTTCACAAGAGAGCTCCCTTCCCAATAAACCAGGACCAGTGCGTACGTTTGCATGTGACAGCTTTTTTCTCCTCTCCCCCAGCTACCAGAGAGACGTCCTTCGTGCACGCCATCAGCTCCGCCGGCGTCATGTACACCCTGACCAGGAACTGCAGCATGGGCGACTTCGAGAGCTGCGGCTGCGACGACTCCAGGAACGGGCGCGTCGGTGAGCTGCCGGTGTGCTGCCTGCCACGGCTGGGCTCCAGCCCCTCTGAGCTGGCAACAAGACGGGCTGGCATCATCCCAGCCCTCAGCTCAGTGCGAGTCCTGGGGCAGGATTCACTCCGTCAGGGTGGTTCTGTTCTTACCACACATCTGTCTTGCAGGTGGCCGCGGCTGGGTCTGGGGAGGCTGCAGCGACAACGTGGAGTTCGGGGAGAGGATTTCCAAGCTCTTTGTGGATGCTTTGGAAACAGGACATGACACCCGCGCCCTGATCAACCTGCACAACAATGAAGTTGGGAGACTTGTAAGTCAAATATTAAAAATAATAATAGCATTAGTAGCAGTAATAATAATAATAAAAACAATATCTATACTAGAAACAACAACAGAGCCTTGTAGACTGCTCAGGTCCCCCTCCCTGTCTGTGCCAGTCTAGGCACTGTGCTATTTGCCTGGGGGAAAAAAGCCACAGCTAGAATCTGACCATAAACCTGAACATGAGGAACTGCAGTAAGATTCAGTTCCAGCATCTGCAGCTTTGTACAGCGCCATTAACCATGAACACCGCTTATTCAGCAATATGCCAGATTTATACTCACATCCTCTGGTCTGTAGCACAACACAAGAACCACCCCACATTCCTGCAATGGGCACTTCCAAGAAACTCAGCAGGGGAAGCCAGGTGTGAGGAAGAGCGTAGTACCCGGCCCACAGAGGCTGCCGGCTCTGGCCAAACCTCCTTGTCTGTAAAAACAAGGACAGCAACATTTAACATACCTATCTCATAGGGTGTGTCGAGGCGTAATCTCACAGAGATACCAGTGATTGGGACCTTATAAATACCAGAGGGAGATGGGTAGATAATATCTGTGAAGTGCTTGGCCTGGAGGAGATGTGTAGAGGTTTGGTGTCATTACGCCGCAGCGCTGTTTCACACATTTTGAATGAGATCTCTGTGCGAGGTGATGGGTCGATACGCCGATGAGAGAGGTGAGCCGCAGACCGGGACGCGCCAGAAGGGCATGACCCTGCACGCACACCTTAATCCTGGCCTGGAGAAACAGCTCCTGGAAGGGCTGGGGACAATAGTTTGTGCCCACTCGTTATCTCCGTCCTTTAATTAGTGACAAGGACAGACAGATGTTTGCCTGGAACTGAAATAAAGGCATGAGTTCATGCCTTGGAAGGACCTGAAGTCCTGTCCAGCACGAGTCACATTTGACCCACTGCCCCTGAAGCAGAAGCACCATGTATCCCAGTTTTGAAATGTAAATGGCAATGATCCACTGCTTCTAACTTCTTCACCTTTTCTACCCAGGCTGTGAAAGCTACGATGAAGCGAGCCTGCAAGTGCCACGGGGTGTCGGGCAGCTGCAGCATCCAGACGTGCTGGCTCCAGCTCGCTGAGTTCCGAGAGATTGGGAACTACCTCAAGATGAAATACGACCAAGCCCACAAGCTGGAGATGGACAAGAGGAGGATGAGAGCTGGCAACAGCGCCGACAGCCGCGGGGCCACGGCGGAGACCTTCCACCACGTCCACGCCACAGAGCTCGTCTTCTTGGAGGACTCCCCTGACTACTGCACGAGGAACGCCAGCCTGGGCCACCACGGCACTGAGGGCCGCGAGTGCCTGCAGACCGGCAAGAACCTCTCGCAGTGGGAGAAGAGGAGCTGCCGGCGGCTCTGCACCGAGTGTGGCCTCAAAGTGGAGGAGAGGAGGACAGAGGTGGTCAGCAGCTGCAACTGCAAGTTCCACTGGTGCTGCACGGTGCGCTGCGAGCAGTGCCGGCAGCTGGTGGCCAAGCACTACTGTGCCCGCCGCGATGCTGCCGCCACCAACCACATCAAGCGGAAAAACAAGGGCCACAAGAGATAGAGGAAGGCCCGACAATGCCGTGCCCGGGCTCACGAGGTGGACCTTTGGGTTTCTTCACCTTTTGTGGCCATCACCGTAGCTCAGGTTGGGAAGGAGCCTTCCCCAGGGCACTGCAGGGATCTAAAGGGGGTTTGGAGGTCCGAACGGACAGTGAGACTGGGCCTTCTCTGAATTAATGCTGTGAGATCACGAAGCACAAGGCGCGGGCGCTGAGGGACCACGGTCCTTCTGGTTTCATGGTTTCTCCTCAGTATTTACTAAGAGCTTCTTTCTTTTCGGGAGTCACTTTGCGTATCTGATGGAGGGAAGACTTTCACTTTTTCGGTGGCTTCAGCTCATTGCACTGCTGGCAGTGGTCAGCCCAGACCAGCAGCAGTAAACAAGGGTGGGACGGGCACTGCAGCCTGAACTGGTCCCACTGGGCAGCTCTGTCACTGCCACAGGCATTGCAGCCCAGGGCCCCCATGGTGTTCCTTCACAGGTCATGCTTATAAATACTCCTGGTGGAAAACTTATGCACTTTCTGGTGTGAGAGGGATTTTTGCAGTATTGTGATTTCTATTAGAACAGCTGCAACTTTTTGAGGACTTAAATAGGTTTACAGACAGTGTTTACAGTGGTTTTTTTTTGTCGTTGTTGTTGTTTTTTTTAAACTTTTCTGATTTGGTACCAGAACCCCTGCCCTAAATGGACAGTAGCTTCATGTATTTGTACCAGATGAAATTAAGCAGTTTAAAATTCCTTTATTATTTTTTTTATATAATAGCAGATAAGAATTCAGAATTCTTTATGCCTAATACTGTTTCTTAATTAAGTTGTATTATTGCTTAGCACAATCTGTTTTCTCCATATATTTTGAAGGCATCCCCAAAGAGTTAGATTTTGGACTGTATTTTGCAATAAACACCGTCATGAAAACAATTGGCTTTTTCCTTTCAGGCTTCCTAGCAGCACGACTCCAGGTGTAAAACCGCCCATTTCCATGCAAAGCCCAGCACTTCCAACATTTCCCATCATTAATCCCAAAGTCACTGAAGTCAGCGAGAAGCCTTTTCCTTCCCAGACCTCAGTGAAACTTGGCCCCAGCCTTAAATCCCCAGAGGGTTTGCTTTAAGACCTATCGCTGCAATATCTAACCTTTTCCAAGTGCTGAGCATGCAGGGTCGCACCCGCCTGAGCCCATTTTGAACCTCCTGAAGCCTCTTTAGTTTGTCTGCGGCCTCAGTCCCCCAGACGACGCGAGGCTGCCCTGCTTTGATGTGGAAAGCATCAGCACTTGCTGCACAAATCTGCCAGGCACGAGAGGAGCCCTTTGAACTCGGGACAGGAGAGAAAACTTGGGGACAGCTGCGAATGCGTCTGCTGGCTCCCTGCTGCTCGGGTGCGGCGGTGGGGAGGGCAGGAGGGGGCTGCTGCCACTCCCAATGGGTCCTGCTTCCCTCACGGCTTTCACCCTGGGGTCTTGGTGTAACCACGGGGGGAGGCAGCCCTGCCGGCATGTTACACCCACACCAGGGCTTTGATGCCGATGTGTGCCGACATCCCAATGTGTGCTGACATCCCAATGGCTTCCAGTGCAAACGCAGCCGCCAACACACGCGTGAGCCACGGCAGGAAGCTCAAGGTGTAAAACGCACACGTTGGGAAGCAGAACCCTCCCACATGCATTTGTTTTTTCCAGCAGATGATTTATTTAAAGAGGGAAGGGCTACAGCAGCCTGCCATCAAGCAAGGGCCCTTCTGTGCTGCCCTCAGAGTAGCTGCTTCCAAAACTTCCATAACAGGCCACATGACCAAAGCTAACAATAAATAAATAATTTTTTGTCACTGTTGCCACAACAGTATTTATTTGCAACCCCCTCCACAACATTTAGGCTGAACTAGAAGTGACAAAAACCAGCAAACAAAGCCCCTTTCCTTCACTGTGCCCGCGGTCCGGCCTACCCGCAGAGCAGCGCGGGCTCCATTTTGGAGAAGCGGCCCCAGGCCCCATGGGGCTGCAGTGGGCACAGCACAGCACTGCCGTGGGTGCCCAGGGGCAGGAAGATGTTATTTCACCAGGGGAACTGGTAAAATATAGGAACTGCCTTACTGCACGGCAGGATCAGGGTTAATAAATTGCCCAGGCCAAGCCTGGGGGATGAGGGCTCCCCACGAGCTGCTCTCCCCGCTTCCCCCAGCCCGGAGCCAGTGTCTTGCTGAGGTGGCTCTCAGCTCTGCTGTGCTGTATTTAGATGTTGGAGACGAAGTCTCCTTCCCTGAATTTGTCTAATGGCCTTTTTAACCCATTTATATTTCTGGCATCCGGACTGTCCAAGGCAACAAGCATATTTTATGCAAAAGCCAAAGACCACATGCAAATTGAGGAGGACTTGGGGGAAAGTTAAGTACCACCTCATGATATCAGTTTCCATTCTTTCTATAGCTTGCTGAACTAATACTGAGCATCAACACAGACAAAAGACAGCACTATGCCTTAGAGCTGCACCTTGACAGAGATATCACAGTCCTTGGGAAGCTGAAGCTCTCTCTTCCTCCCCTTGTTGCTTGGATACAGTAGTCATCAATTCTCACTACATTCACTACAAAACAATAGAAATTCAGGATCATCCTAATCCATCACATGCTGTCAGGGAGTCACTGTACCCCTGAGCACCATTACTCATTTTCGGAAACCACACACTCACCACATGCATGGGGGCACAGGGTAAGAAACCCCAGGCCGCTGGCAGGGCACGATCCAGGCTGATTTCACCACCTCAGCAGAGGCTTTACTGGAACAGCAAAATTCTGCGTATCAGTTTTCAAAATAAATAATGACACACAGGAAATCAAAGTCCCATCATCTGCTGGCTTGCAAAGACTTGCTCTCTAACCACAAGCAAAGAGCAGTTGAAGGGACCGATGATGTCTTTAAACCTGAATGTATTTACTCTTGATTACCTGAAGTCAGCTCAAATTTGGGACACTAATCCCAACCACCTGTAAATCACTTCATGCTTGAAAAAAAAGGCTGACCTGGCTTTATAAACCCTTGATGAGGAATCTGACTGCCATCCCACAGATGTAATAATGATCCTAATTAAAATGAACAAGTAAAAATCTTAATCTGAACCAGGTGCAGCAGATGCCACATGAACTCAAAACAAAATCCTGATGCCTGTCCCCAAAGGGCTGTCACCTCTGCCTCTCCCCTTTGAGGGCAAAGGCTCCTTGGATTGTGGCATGGGGTATCATGGGGTGTCACCCAAAGGGGACACTTTTGCCACTTTTGTGGCCTAAACTGCTTGGACAGTGCTGGAGCAGCCCCAGCAAGGGTAACCTGCTTGCTAAGGAACACTCAGGACAGAAGCTGCCTTGGCCTGATGTCCCTGCTCTTGCTGTGTGGGTTCACCACGTGAAAATCAAGTTTATTTAATTCACAAAACGCTTCACTGCTGACTGCAGGGGAACGGGACAGCATCTGCTTGATATATCGACAAGCATGGGAGGGAAACGGAGCCAGGAAGGCCACGCACTGACAAACTGCTTGTGTAGGTGGTCTTTGCGAAGTGCCTAGGAGGTGGCTGTGCTTCGGCCGAGCTCTTCTCACACCCTGCGGGCTCCCAGCCCAGCTGCACGATGCTCTCCTCCCGCTGAGCCCCACCACAGCCCCAATTGTGCAGCCCAGCCACTGCTCACAGCAGCCCTCCTCTGTCCAGGCCTGCTTCGCCTCAGCTGTTACACTCTTTGCCGAGTGGATTACCTTTAAATCATGCTGCCAGTGCCCTTTCATGGATTATAATTCTGTATGAGATGTTTGGGCTGTATCCTCCCCCCGTATTAAAGTGTCAGGAGTACATCCCCGGGCCATCCATCTTTTAACACTTCCGCATGGGCTTGGCAATTCTCTGACATGAATATTATGGCTCTCAAAGCTGCGTCTCCATCACTCAAGCTGACAAGTGTTAGATTCTCCTCTCTTCAACAGGGTAAGTGACCTTTTCATATGCAGCGTAGATTCCCGGTCACGCTGCAGCTGGTGCAGTGAAACCAGCGAGTGCCAGCAATTCCCTAAAGTCTTGAAAAACAAGTCACAGGTCCTTTTCGACTTGCAAAACCAACCCTTAGCATGACAAAGTTAAAGGGCCTTAATCAGCCCCTGGTTAGCCCCTGCTAATGCCATTCCCATAGAGGAGGATGAAAAAGCATCTGTGCGATGCCTTCTGCAGGATTTATTAACAGGGGTTTTCAAGGAAAGATAGGGAATTTGGGTGTCTGGCTTGTCGGAGTGCATAGAGTAGGTTTTTGTGAGCAGTTAGTGACTTTAAAACCAATTCCGACCTTAAGCAACACTTTTTAAAGTGAGGTGCTTAAAGTTAGATCCCTAAACCTCCCCAGCTTGATTTTCAAAGCTGCTAAGCACCTGTGCTTCCCACCCTGCACACAGGAGCTTCATTTCAGCAGTGCCTGGGAGAAGCAGGGGCAGAAGCCCACCCTCCACAGCATCTCCTGCCCATCCTTCATAGCGGTGCTGCAGTGAGGACACAGCAGTCCACATCATGAGACAGAAAATGAACCCACTGAAACAGAACTGCCTGGCAATTCAAGTTAAAAATCACATTACCCTGGGTCTTTGGCTAAACCGGTGCTTAATACTGTTCCTCTCTGCAGAGCAGAGGCACTTTCACAGCAACTTTGCCACCTTCCCACTCGGAAGCCCTGTGCAGTGGCTCATAGCCAGCACAGCCCAACAGAAACTTGTTAACACCTTTTCAGCTCAGTCTTATTAAAGTCAAGGCAATTAACAGCTTTGCTATTTACAAAACAAATCCTCTCTGCAACACCTGAGAAAAAGCATTACAAGTGTTTCCCAAACATTTCTCAGCTGGGGAGAACACCTACAATAACTGTCTGCAGGGAGGTGTTTCATCTGCTCTCCCTGAGTGGAGAGGACAGCTCCAGGTTCACCACAAGTTTGTGCTGCACTCTCATTTAGGAGGCCTGGCTGGCACGTAAATCTCCCGGGAAGGTTTATAATCCAGGGGGAAAGATGCCTACGGAAAGCCAAGGTGGGATTTTGTTGCCCACCTGCTGGTCCTTCCTCACGCCTGCTACAGGCAGAGGTGATGGTGTATGAGAGCTGCTGGTGGATGAGGAGGTTGCTCCCCTCCAAAAGCATCTCCACGGGTGGCTGGGGAGCAGTGGGTGACACACTGCAGGTTTCCACCTCTGCCGAGTCACAAGCTTGTGTTCTGCCCTCTCCCCCCAGCCCCCTGCCTTTTCCAGTTCCCTGCTTTCTCCTAGGATACATGTCATGCCCCCCACTTGGTGAAACAGCGCCCTGGCTTACAGTGCAGTAAATTCCCCCTCTTCAAACAATCCCCAAGGAGATGAGCCATTTAACAGAAGATTGATGGAATAGAGACAATCAAATAAATGTAACCTGCAATGTACTTCCAGAATTAATTCCTTCCTCCTTTTCTCTCCCATCCCACTCCCCAAACACGCAAAGCTTTCCTTGTGGCCCATAACTTATGAGGACAAAAGGTGATGGAGCCTAAAACATTATCTGGGTGCAGAGGTGACTGCTGGGACAAGAGCACTCCCCGTCAAAGAGGACTCAGTGCAAACACTTTAGGGGTTTAGAAAGATCCTGTCTGAAGCCTGTATCCCATCCTGGCCCCAAGCCAGCTTTTCCAGGAGCTCTGAAATGTGGAGAGCACAGAGGGAGTTGCTGGTAACTCCAAGTGCAGTAGGGTGCACGTACTGATGGCCGCAGCTGGGAAATGTTCATCAAATGCAGTCAGGAGGTAAGAAGAGCAGCAGTTTTGTGGGACATGGCCAGAAAATGAAAGACAAGAAGTCTAAATCTGATGTAGAAGGGGAACGTAGAGTTTTACAGGAGGAAGACATCATGGGAAATCTTGGGTAGTATTTCAGCTTCTCTTGTCTTTCTAGTCTTTTTTCACTGTCCTATGTAACATTAAATGAAGCCACTTGTAGGCACATCCAGGAAAGAATAGCTCGTCAGGGGACATACACAGAGCCTGGACAGTATACGGCCCTTAATTTCCTCCTCTGATGCTTTCAATAGCTCATGGGATGCCATAAAAGATGATAATGATGAGGCCAGAGGAAAGACTGTAAAACAATGGGGCACGAGCAGTTACCTCACTTGGGCTCAAACTCAGGCCACGCACGGACAGAGTTTGCTGGTTGCCAGCCCTGCTGCTGGGGACAGCGGCTGCGCACCAGGTCCCACCACGGGGCTGGTGCCAGAGCTCAAACCTGTGCTGTGAGGAGTTACAGGGCCTGAAACGTTGGGTTATGAAAGCCGTGGGACTCTTCTTGTTGATTTAGATCTCACCTGATGTTTCACTTGGACACAGACAAGGGTGAGGACAGCAGTTCTCACGTTGCTTCCCAATTCCACAGATTTTTCTAACTTAAAACGCTATGGCTCCTGGCTCGACTCTTCTGGGTGCTTGTCCCTCAAGAATACAGCTGACAGCTTTAAACACAATAGCTTTTTTTTCTCTCCCTTTTGCCCAGTGTCTTGAAGCCAAGCCTCCTCTGGCCCAGCTCTCCATCCCCGCTGCTGCCAGGCAGACACTTCTGCTGGCCAGCTGCCACCGGCTATTACAGGGACAAGGCACCTCCTCCCTATCGCTAAGTGGATTTCGAAGGCAATAAGAAAGAGAATAATTAAATTAACTCGGTCCCAAATACCTCCCGAGGTGCTGAGCATTCCCAGCACTGCAGCAGCACGGCGAGCAGGTAATACCGGTCGGAGGCAGGCTGCAAACGTGGCTCCGGGGCACATCTGAGCGGGAGCAGGCTGCTGCTGATCCCGGCTGAGCGCTGGGAAGCGCAGCACCCAGACGCTTGGGATGGCTGAGCTCAGGTCCAGGAGTAAACCAGCTATGTTTATACTTTGATGTGCCGAAGCTAATAAGCCCTATCCCAGAGCAAACACGGTTGTACTTCTTCCCAGCTTGGCCTACTTTATCCTCGGGGTTGTTTCTTGCCCCAAAGGCCTTCCCCCTGCGGGGTGCCAGGGACGTAATCTCAGGCAGCAATCTCAGGCTCTGTTTCACCCGACAGCCTGCTATTTAAATTCCCTGTGAAACATCTTTTGACAGCAGCACGTTCATTTTTTTTCCCTCCATCTACCACAGACAGCCTTGGGCTGCGAGACTTGATTCTGGATTTGAGGCAGCCCACCCTTCGGGAGCGCTCAGGTCACCTTTGCACCAGCCCCGTCCCCAAGGCCGAGGTGTGCCAGGGCCTGGCCAGGATCAGCAGCAGGAACCCGAGGATGTGCCTGCTGCAGAGCTTTATCTCGCTGAGCGCCAGAGAGGTCACAAATCATCATCCAGCCCCTTTCAAGCAGCTGGGAGCTCTGAATTGTGCCTCTTGTAGCCAGGCACCATCCACTCCAATCTCTCAGAGCCAGGCCAGGTACGTTGATAAGGAGATAGTGTAAACGGTCACACAGGATGGAGCCCCAAATTCGCAGTTTCCTGTGCTTTAACCCAGCGAGTGCTGTATCAGGGGGAGAGTCTTGTTTAGATCATTTTAGATTATCTCTCTTTCCAAAGGGGGCTGTTCTGGCCAAGGATTTGTCACAGTTCTGCACAGAAGGCCCCAGATTTCATGTGAAACTAAGTACGGAGTGCTTTGTACATTTTCAGCACAAATTTGGTAAGAACTATAGTAAAATAAATATTTTGGATGAATAACAAATACTGCTATGAAGAGTCCTGATAATGACCATCAGTTTCTTCTTAAACCCCAGCTGGCCTTTGGGGTACCCCTACTTTCTCTGTTCCATGAAGATGTCATTAATTTCCACATCTCCATGATTTGTTCAGTATTGTATTCTCCACCCTACCTTGTAACCAAGCTAACCACCGAGAAAAACTCTTCAATTCATTCT